AAATATCACAAAAGATAAATCTTACATCTTTTCCTTTATCAAGATTTGAAATAATAGTATTATATATCTCTACCAGTTGATTGACAGTTGAATCTCCAGGTTGGAAACCAGACTGATATTTGTATATTATATTATTATCATTCATAAAATTATGAAAATGTTTAAAAAGTATTTTTTCCATTATTTTACACAGAACACTTGTAAGAGGTATTGGTCTATAATTAGATACTTCTTGAGCACTCCCTTTATTTTTAAAGACAGGTGTAATCTGTGATAATTTCCAGATGTCTGGTAGCTTTTTTTCCCTTAATGACATATTGAAGAGATTTGTCAGAGGCTTTTTAATTGAAATGGAAATTTCTTTTAACACTCTTGGAGATATGCCATCAGGACCAGGGGGTTTACTGTTATCAATGATACATAATTGATCATAAACTTCAGCTTCTGTGATAATTATTTCAGGAAAAATGTTATTATTCTGTTGTGGTGGACCGGGTCCATGAAGAGGAATATCTGGTTCGTTATTAATGGAGGAAACCTGGGCAAAATATTTATTTAAAACTATAGCTTTTTCTACTGGATGGAAAATAAGTTTTCCATTTGATTTTAATGGTGGTAATGGTTCATAATTATCATTAAGTTTTGATATTGATTTGACAATCCTCCACCATTTCCCGGGAGGAATCGATTTATCAATCATTGACGACATTGTTTTGTTATACTTTTCACAGGATTTTCGAATTTCATTAATAACTGTATTTCTAATTTCTCTATATGATTGCCAGTGTAGTGGATTGTCTGTATGTTTTGCTTTATAGTGAATCCTATTTCGTTTTCTCATTAGTTAACGTATATTATTATTCATAAAAAACATTATCTCTTGGTCTAATGGTAATAGTTTTTTTTTGAAATGTGTTTATCAATACATTTATTCAGAGAACAAACAAAGTTGGAATATGTTTCATTGATATTTTCAGAATTGAATACTGTATTGTCCCAATCAACTTGTAATAATTCTTCATTAAGTTCATGAAAATTTGCATTTTCATAATTTCTCACTTCCCTTTTATAGGCATACTGTTTATGAACAGTGAATGTCACTTCTACACTAGTCACACAGTGAGAGCTACAGAAGGGTGATGTTGTATCATAATTTGCGATTAAGGTCAGACGTTCCTCAAATATCTGTTTTGCATATCTTCGTATTATATGGAAAATATTCAAAATTTTAATTACCTTCTGATTTCTAAACCGATTTCTGATTGTCTTTAAAAAATTGAAACAATAAAAAATGTGATATTGGCAAATTAAGTTTTTTCCAAAAGGATTTTATAGGAAACATCACCCTCTGGTATCTTGCACAAATGCCTGGTAAGGTACCTCAATTTTTTGCGATCAAACATGTTAAAGTAGCAATACTTCAATGACAAAATCTTAGAAAAAATTATATATTATTGAGGAACGTATCGTCTGTCCTTAAGCTGGTATTGTTGGTCAAATGAGATCAATACATGTCCCTGTTTTGGTTGTGAAATTAGTTGCATTATTTATAAGATTTGTTAAACTAAGTCTCTGTAACATAAGTTTAAAGTGTTTGCTTTGGTCAGACAACATATTAACATTGAAATCACCTAACAGTATGATGGTAATATTTAAATCAAGGGCTTGCTGCAGGTTGAATAGAAAATGATCCCAATATTCTGCCTTAGAGTTGGGTGGTCTATAAATGACACCAATAAGTAATTTATTGTTATTTACAACAACTTCTGACCAAAGAATCTCCATATGTTTAGAATCAAGATCTTTTCTTTCAGAAAAATGTATGTTTTTGGATATATAGAGAGCAACGCCTCCCAAAACGATTTCTGTCTTTACGAAGAGGTTGTTGATATCCGTTAAGCAAGACATCATCGTTCCTGATAGAACTATCTAAATGGGTTTCAGAAAGAGCAATAATATCAAAGTCAGATAATTCAGCCGATACAACATCGACTTTTGGATATAAACTAAAAACATTATTATGAGCAACACGTTAATTTGTCATTAATGGATTTGGTGGTCCAGGATTTCTTTCAATGCCAGACCAAATAAGCAAATATTCCACAACAAGTAGCAAAAAGTGACTATTTTTCATAATAAATGGTTTGCAAGAAAGAATACGTACATACCTAGCATAAAGTAAAGTCCTTGGCCATATTAATAAATACGGGTATTTAATCCCTAGTATCAAAGATGAAAAAACACTGGTAAAAAGAAAAACTGGCCTTGGACGTTACTGTAAAGCACATGCAATGCTTACATCGGAAGATAACAGAAGCTATGTAACTACAAAACCGGTACTGATAGTGAACTCCGGATTCCGGATTGAAAGATTGCAAAAAACAAACAGAAAACATATGAACAACGAAAAAACGAATAAGGAAGAAAGATTTCCACAAATAATACATCTCGTGCAAGTACAAGCTATTGCTTGCAAGAACAAGGCATATATACAAAAACATAAATTCAGGAAGTATTTCAAAAGGATCTAAATGCATAGATGCAACGTTATAAACACAAAACAAAAGAAAAATAGAAAAAGAGAATCAAAATCTATTACTCGGCACCGACAAAAAGATTTTTTTAAGTAAATAAATAAGTCATTATAATCGTATCATTTGACTACGAACTTAGCAGCAATTTTACATAACTTCAACAACTAAGTTAATCATTGTGATATAAATAGCATAGGGATTTCCCTAAGAATGTAAACAAGGACCACTGTCATTTACGGGCTGCAGGTGTAGATGTCCATGGTTGAAAGAAGGGTCGATGTCATTATCGTCATTGACGACAAAAAATTTGCCCTTGTTCGACTTCACTAAGATCCTACCATGTACTGTCGATAATTTGGTTTTTGACGAGTTGTCGAGTTCTGTACAATAAGCTAACACGTCTTTTCGTAAGTGCTTCATTCAGGAATATTTTGTAATTGTTCGACTCATTATCATTGAATGTTTTCAGGTTCTTTTTCCTAGAAAATGCCATAGTTTTGTCACGGTACGACAGGAACTTAACAATAATGTCGCGGGGACGCCTGGGGCTTTTGTCCTCATGTTTAGGTTTTCCTACCCGGTGGGTCCTACATATACGATCCTTATCAATTGCTAAATTATCGGGCTTGAGGATCAAATTGTTAAAGACGTTTAGAGCAATAACGTCTGTATCCTCCTCCTTATCATCCTCCGGCTCTGGAACTCCAGATATTTTTATGCAATTCCGCCGTGAATATTGCTCCATTTCATCCATTCGATACTTTATATTCTCGACTTCAGTCTCTAGGACATTGATTTTAGATACAAGTGTTTCAGATATAAATGTTCTAAATGTTTCTTTACTTAAAATAAGGTCAACTGCTAGCCTAGATGCCTGTTTATCTCCTGCTAAGTTGTCTAAAATTTTTTCTAAACTTTGCAGATCATGATTATGGTTAGAAGTGCTTGCCATCGTTGTATTCACTATTGAATCACCACTTAAGGATGTATCACTAATGTCAGTTCTTGGACGTTTAACACCGACTACTTTTGATTTGTTATTTTTCCTTCCCATTGGTGAGCACAACTCATAGCCACACAAAGAATATGTCTATATATAATTGTAATAACGAAGATCTTGAAACATATTTACAATTTTACTCACTTTTCATGATGATAGTAGTCAAAACTTATATTCCTGACACCTGTACTCGCATTAAGCATGGTTCAGATTGCACATTTTGTTGAGGTTTTTGCGGAGCCGATTTCTCAACACCCTCACATGGTGGTTGACCTTGACCTTCCGGAATCTAATACATGTATACGTTCTTTTGTCGACGCCCTTAAAATGTACAACTGTATATGTACAAAGCGCCACAAATATACGCATATCGAGCGTATGGAAATACAAAACCCCACATTCACACGCGTACGCGCCTCCAAAATATGTAGAATGGGACATACTGTTGATAATAGAGCCTTTATGAGTAGTACTAAGTAGAAGAAGCGGGAATCTCATGCTTTTAATTGGTCATACTACATGGAGAACCAGTTTAAGAAAAAAATATTTAGGATTTTAAATTAAGATTGTAAAATGACAAAATGAAATAATCAAAATAATCAACATCCCTTTTTGTTTAAAAGGAGAAATAAACACATAGTCACTCAAATAGTCACTCAAGTAGTTACATAGTCACTCAAGTAGGACGGTGGTTTCCGGTTACGAGATGGTTGCCTTCGAACGCTTGTTAGTTCAACCCGAATTGGACTAGATACGCTTTGTTGTTCCGAGTTCGACATGACCGATGTCTTGTTTTCTGAATTGTTATGTTGGCTCTCACAGATTCGTTCATCTTTGTTGTACTCTTGGTTTGCACTTTTGTTGAGGTATGAAGTTGAAGGTTTTATGATTTCAAGCTGGTGTGGAACTGTAGTGCGAATTGGTGAGCTATCACGGATAACTGCTTGTACTTGTGTCGGTCTAATGTGCACACGATTTCTGCGGTATTTGGTTCCATTCTGTGCTTGAACAACATAAGTATAATCTTCCAGAATGTCTGTCACTTTTCCCAGAATCCATTTGTCTCCTACTTTATGTTCAAAGTATACGTTCTGTCCACATTTCAAAAATGGTAGATCTCTTGCATTTTTATCGTGATGTTTCTTCACTGTTCGGTTGCGTTTTACACGCCTAAACCTTGCCTCCTGGTTTTCTTCTGTCCGAATGAGTGTGGGAAGCAATGTGCGTGTCTTTCTCCCAAACATCATTTCTGTGGGGCTGCGTCCAGTGTCTTGTCGAGGAGTATTTCGTTGCTCCAATAATGCTTCATATTGACAAGTGCCATCTCGTTCACATTTTAAGATGAGATGTTTCATTATCTTTACAGCTGATTCTGCTTTTCCATTAGCGTTTGGATGATGGGGAGATGATCTCACATGGTTTATCCCCCATTTCTCAGCAAACACTAGAAAGTCATTGGCAGTGAATTATGGTCCTCCATCAGATACAATTGTCGATGGGATGCCAAAGAATGTAAATTGTTTCTTCAGAACACCAACCACTGCTTTAGATGTTGTCTTCTTTAGCAAGTCAATGGTAATAAAATTGCTGAAATAATCAATGGCCACAAGATAGTTCTTGTCCTTAATTTCAAAGAGATCAAGGCCAATTCTATTCCAAGGAGCATTGCCATCATCATGTTGTTTCAGCAGAGGACTAATATTGCGGGGTTTGAGTTCTTGGCAAGGTTTACAAGAAGATGCTAACTGCCTGAGTTCTACATTCATCCCAGGCCAATACACGGATCCCCTAGCTCTTCTCAGCATAGAATCGTATCCATTGTGCGAGCTGTGTAGACGCTGTTTAATATCTTGACGTTCACTTTTTGGAATTATGATGGACTCTCCTTTGACAATGATTCCATCATATACACTTAAACTGTCACGGAAATCAAAATATGGCTGACAGCTTTCCTTAGCAGCACTCTTCCGATCTGGCCATCCTGACTGTATAGTTTCAATCAGGTCCTGAAGGTCAGGATCTTTGGCTGTTGCCTCCTTGATTTCCATTAATCTTGAGTCATTCAGATTGGGGTTGACTTGAACCATGAAGATATCTAGTCGCTTTTCTGTTGGTTCATCTAAGTAAGCTCTACTTAGAGTGTCTGCTATTACGAGGTCTTTTCCTTTTAGAAACTTGAAGACGATATCATATCTGTTGAGCTTCATCATTATGTCCTGTAGTCTTTTTGGAGCATTGCTCAAAGGCTTCCGCAGGATTGTTTCTAATGGTTTATGGTCGTTTTCGACTATAACCTGTCGTCCATAAGTGTATTGATCAAATTTCTGCACACCAAAGAGCACTGCGAGAGCTTCTTTCTCGATTTAAGCCCATTTTCTTTCAGATGATGTTAAGGCCCTAGACGCATACTCAATTGGTTTGCCTTCTTGCATCAGGACTGCTCCTAAGCCATCCTTGCTGCTATCTACTTGCAGCACAAGTTTCTTTCCAGGGTCGAAGTACGCTAAAACTGGGGCGGATGTTAGGTTGCGCTTCACTTCCTGAAAGCTTCTTTCACATTCCGCAGACCACACAAATTCATTGTCTTTCCGAGTTAGCTTACGGATTGGTTCAAGAGTAGTAGACAATTTTGGTAGGAATCGAGCCATATATTGGACCATTCCGCAGAATCTCCTTACGCTAGCCTCATCAGTAGGTTTCGTCATTTCTAGAAGAGCAGTGACTTTCTTAGGATCAGCTTTGATTCCTTCGTTAGTTATAGTGTGGCCATGAAAGGATATTTCTTTGAGTCCTTTGACCATCTTGTCCGAGTTAAGGATGACGTTTCTTTCAATGCAGCGATCAATCACTTTCTGTAGTTTCAGATTGTTGTCTTTTAAAGCTTCTTCGTCAGTTTTGCCATGACCTGCAATGATGATGTCATCAGCAATCGTGAATGTTCCTTCAAGTCCCTCCAAGGCCTCATTTAATTTCCTCTGAAATATCTCGCTGGATACACAGAGTCCAAAAGGAAGACGTGCCCAACGGTAACGTCCATACGGCGTTATCATTATCGTGAGAAGGCTTGATTCTTCACTGAGGCGCACATGCCAGAATGCTTCCTGGACATCTAACTTGCTGAACAGTCTTGCATTTTTGAGATTTGGGAGGACATCATCAAAAGTTGGTAAGTTGTAACGTTCTCGCTGAAGGGCAACATTCAGTGGTTGAGGATCTATACATATTCGGGGTTTGCCATTTGGCTTTTGGACCACTGCCATTTGGCTTACCCATTCAGTTGGCTTTGTGACAGGTACTAGAATTCCTCTTTCAACCAGTTGGTCTAGGTCCTTTTTCACACGGTCCTTGAGAGCAAGAGGAATTTTTCTACATGGTAAAATTTTCGGTTTTACATGGTCCACCGTTAAGTTGACTTCTCCCAATTCACCAAGATTTGTGCCGGACTCTATCTTTGCAATGAAACGTTCCTGATTGACAGTAACAAGTCCAAGTTGTTGAATGGTTTTGAGACCTAATAAACTTTGGAATGAGTTTGGCACAATGATGAAATTAACTTCATTTTTATCTCCAGGTTTCACATTTTTCAGGGTCAAACTGGCTTCACCGAGGGGTTTGAGACTTGATTTATTGAACATTCTTAGTGTTTTTGTACAGTTTTTCGCTTGATTCCTTCTGACATATTTCTTTTGAATTGTGTTGACGTCTGCACCACTATCTAGTTGGAAGCGGATTTCACAGTCATTAACCATCATTAGGGCTGATATATTTTCCTTCTTGTTAGGATTTTCTATTGTGTTCAGCCAGGAGTCATCCGAGCCATCACTTTCATAGTTGTGATTAGTTTCCAGGACATTGACCTTCTTACACTGAGATTTGAAGTGATTGCGCCCATTGCAGTTATTGCATCTCTGTCCCCAAGCTGGACAATCTTCTTTCTTCATTTGATGTTTTCTCCCACAAAATTTGCATATCTTGTGAGCAGGGGGTGGTTTTTCTTTTCTTTCTCTTGGTTTGTTTAGTTGTCTCTGAGATAGAGATCCTTGTTTTTTGAACTGTTTGGTTTTAATCTTGTAAATTTGACTGTCTTTAGTGTCCTTCATTTCCTGTGCTTGCTTGTTTGCCTGTTCATAAGACTGACATATTCTGATTGCTTTACGCAGATCCAGTTCGTCATCTCTCAGCAGCAGTTGCTGCATTTTACCAGAAGATGAAAATACAATTTTGTCTCGGATCATTCGATCTTCAAGTTCTCCAAAATTACATGATTTTGCACGAATGCGTAGCTCAGTAACAAATTGATCAAACGGTTCATAATATTTTACTGACCAGAATTTGTGGCTTTCTGCAACTTCATTTTTCCGTGGGTTGCAATAATCTTCTATCTTTACAAAAACTGTAGCTGGATCATTTCTGTCTTCGTTCTGACCCCATGAGAAATGATCGTAGATTTTCAATAATTGCTCACCTCCGCAGTTTATGATGGTAGCAGTCTGAGTGTCTTTGTCTAATTGCGCTGTGCCGCTTGCACGTAAATAGATTTCAACCTGACGCTTCCAAGTTTTAAAATTCTCCGAGACATTCCCCGAATGTAAATTAAGTTCAGGTGGAAGTCTAAGGTTTGTGTTCAGATGAACAATCTGAGCTTGCTGTTGTTCCTCACCCATCGAGGAAATTCGGGACGCTGTGGGGAACGGGTTTGCAGAATTTTATTGTAACGTATATCCACTTACTTGAAGAGTGGTTCGAACTCGAGTATCACTATCGTAAGTTCGTAGCCGTCGCTGCCACCATGTTCATAATAGAGCCTTTATGAGTAGTACTAAGTAGAAGAAGCGGGAATCTCATGCTTTTGATTGGTCATACTACATGGAGAACCAGTTTAAGAAAAAAATATTTAGGATTTTAAATTAAGATTGTAAAATGACAAAATGAAATAATCAAAATAATCAACACATACATGCGTAACTGTATTTGAATATTGCAAATTTATTAGACACCTAACCTTGAACAAATTATTATTTTCTACTAAACTTGTTATTGTATCTGAACAGAATGATAAACGTGTAATTTTTTGTAGGTTCCGATTATTTTTTCTGAAAATCAGAACACATTTATCAGCTCTCTTACGGTTTTACGGACACATACACATACAATGTACAGGCATGCAAGAACAGAACAAGCACGTTTTATAAGTGCATATTCAAGAGCGCCCCAAATATATGCATATCGAGCGTTTGAAATACAGAATAATTCTAAATCCCAAGTCTTTTTTTCCCAATGTCTTTGCATTAAAATATCGGTTAAACTGAAATGATTTTATTGATTTACAGCATATATTAAAGTGAATTATAGGTCCGCTGAGTTGATCATGAGTTGTTTTTATAACGGGTAGTCCTCCTGTCCAGTCATCGTCACGGTTTGTAACATCGTAATTACACAGGTAAATACTAAGATGTCAATCTATATATTTTCCATAAGAAATGAATTACCGGGAGATGTCTCGTTTTCTCTAGATCTGATCATATATTAATTGACAGCGTTTATGAACAGCTGTTAAAACACAGGCCTTTGTAAACCGGTAAATCACAAAAAAGAAAAATCCGAGACATAAAAAATAGAGAAAATATAAATGTCTCGGAAATAACATTGTCTTTAGATAACAAAAATAAATTAATGTCCGCCGATTTTTGAATTAATCCGAACATTCATTGATGTGTACCTGTACAGGCAGTGTGTAACTTTTTTTTGAAGCCTTCGTCCAAATGAACAATATAATAAATCTTGAATGAATTAACTAACCCCTTCAGTACACACACAATCGCCTACACCTGAAATTTAATCAAAATTAGATCTTTTTTACGGCCCGAAATTCTGATAGTCGCTGTATTTCTAATCTGATTGACTATACATGACCTTTAAAAAATAAAATATTCTTTAATTTTCTTAGGGACCAGTGCATCACTAGTCAGGTGCTGTACCGACTGAGCTACGCAGGCCGATATCCACGACCCAAACCACTACAGTTTTATTAACTAATATTTTCATCTTTAACTTAATTATCCATGCAGGTGCTCCACGTGTCACTTATTGTGATAGAAGTATTTACCACGTGACCTGATCATAATGCATTCATATTGGTCAACTCTGTGATGCATGGTGTGTATTTATCAAACCCTTCAAAATCTTTCCTCTTGACCACATCTTTAAGTGTATTAAAAAGTCAAACGACTTCCTGTCAATTTTGAATATCGCCACCGCACGTGTATTTTGAACTTTGATTACCAATTTCATTATTTTCATTCATAATACATATCCTTTTAGCCTGTCATTTTCGGATTTTTAAAAACTAAACTTCACACAAAAAATCACAGACTTCTTGTTACGTTATAATGCAAACAAACGACTGAGGCATTTTGAACATAAGAAGGATGGGTGGGTTGCATAACTACATGTATAAAATAAACAAAGCAAAGGCGGATCCAGGGCCAGCGCGCCGGGCGCAGCCCCCCCCCTCCCCCGCCCCCCTCCATTTGAATTTTCTGTATGTAGAACTTATATGACCATTATCATAAAATCAAGGAAAAAAATCTCTTATTTGTAAGAATTTGTCAACTTCTGGGGGCTCCCCCCCCCCCCCTGAATCCCCACCAGGGCTTTGTCATAGACCCACTGGGGGCTTCAATGCAGCCCTCAGACCCCTTCCCTGCCTTCTACTTTGACCCCCGTTATGAAATTCCTGGATCCGTCACTGGAAGGGGCGTAATAAACAAGAATAATATAGCTTTGAAGGGATGTGATCTTCGGTATTGATACTTTTTTCACACTGACTTTTTCGTCTGTGAAGTTTGGGGAAATTAGCCTGGTAGGATAGCTAATCGCTTTTTCTACTGTAATGTTAAATTGGCAAAGAGAAACAATTCCGATTAAAGTTGAACGATGTTTATTGTAAAGTCAGCAGATAGAAAGTGAATTTTTATAAAAGTTGTTACACAAAAAATCGTAATAAACAGGTACAAGTAATTATCGAATAAACAATGTCAGATATGTAAATAACTTTTGAAATAACCTGTAGGGAAACCCGCTAAGAGAAGGTACGATTACTAAAACAACAAATAAAGATCGATCAGTTACGTGAAATCAGTCATGCATAGTGCTTACAAAAGTTTTTACAGTTACAAAAGTTTAAAAATCAAAAGTAGACAATAAAATC